GCCCACGTGAGTGCCGATCCTCCATAGGTAAGAGATGATCGTACACTGAAGGCTCAAATACGCGGAAAAATCCTCTGCCCCGAATGAAATATCATATCAAACGAGAGAATGGGAGAGTACCGTCCTGTCTTGAGCGAAACCGTTTTTTGTTCCGTAGCTTGACCGCTCGGCTCCTGGGTCCGCGTCCTACCACACGGACGGGCCTTACGGCATCGGTGAGTCGATGGGAGGGTGTGTTTGTCTTCTTGTCCAGATTGAGGAGCACAGAGCAGGGTGCTAATTAAGCGCAAACTGTTTACAATTGTAATTGGGTCTAACTCCCGACGCTCCACCTCCCTGGAAACGGCTCAGAGTATTTCTTTTTTTCATCAGCATGGGACACAAGGAGGGAGCGACAAAGAAGTATGAGGGAGAAATTCGTGGATCAGAAACTGACACATCGAATTACTTGCTCGGTGCTCCGCCAGGGCTTTGCAGCGGACGCATGCCAGAGGCCTGAAGCGTCTTTTTCTCTATAAATAACGAAATCAATATCGAGAACCTTGCGGCTCAGAGTTCGGAGGGAGACGCCAGCCACGCGCTCAGGATTTCCAAAAAATTACCGCATCATCCGCCACACATAGTCTTGAGGGGGTGGGCGAGCTGGAGGGATTCCGACACGGCGCACATTCCGATCGGTCGAAACGATTCCATGGCGAGTCGGTGAGTGGACGAACGGGTTGGGAGTCCTCGCCGTGCCGGAAAGACCGTTCGGTCACTTCGGAGTCGATCCTTGAGATTGGCCGAAACAAAAAGCCGGCGCGTTTTGTGATCGTCTTCCATAATTCTCGTTATTTTTCGCCTTTCGCCACGTCTCACGCTGTTTGCCTGTCCGCCTAGATGGCTGACTGCTTTCCATCCAGCTGGGGATATAAATCAGGCATGCGGTGCCGGACGTGACCAGAAATGTGAGCAAAGCAAGAAGGAGTGCTGTTCACTTGCTCGCTGGTGTTCCTGGTTCGCTTTCAGCCCCTTGTCCACCCCCGAAGCTCGAAACCTCGCGGGGGTAGTCTGCAGCCTGCACGGCTGGTCCGTACGTCTGTCGCTCGCTTGGTCGGTGAGACAAGATTCTAAAAAAAGGAGCTTGCCGAAAGTGGCATGCCGCATCCCCGGCGCTTGTCTTGCACATTCGTCCACGCACTGATTCACGCTCCAACAGCTGAGAGGATTCCGTCGTGGCGTTCGTTAGACGGCGTGTGGCCTGAGCCTCTCCCTTTCTCGTATGTATGTCGTATGTACCTCCATAGACGCGGGGATCGAGCTCGCTTCATGAGCTACGTAGTTCCTGACCTGCGCTCATCGGCGGGCTTGTCGGTGACATTGGACAGCAGCCGATGCTCTGCATATATCGACGTCGGATTTCATGGTTCCATGTATAACAATGCACGAACGGTGAGCCTCCTCTCTCGACATACCTTTTCGGCAGTGCTCATTCTGCAATATTCCGGCATACGGGGAGAAGAACGAATGAATTGTCAGCATCGCTCAGATGGATCTGGCAAGAGTTGTCACCTGGGAAGCAACCCGAACGCGTGTTCTCGAGATACAAGCCGACCGGGGTGCCCTGGCGAATTTCCCAGGAATATATTCATCGACACGGAAGACGTACGGAAAAGGAACTCTGACGGAGAATCCACGCGGATACCAGAATGACGAATGCGATGTGCAAGGCCGCGAACTCGAGCGACGCTTCCACAAGGCGGGGGATTCCTTGATGTATCGTCTGCGGACGTTCCCGTAGTCCGATTCGGAGGCATGCGTTTACTACGTCTTCCGCCGTGCCGCTCTTTCCCCTGCCCGCTCCCCTTTTTGCCCCACTCGGAGCGGGGTGGCGACGGACGGCGTGTCGGGTGAAGGAGGAGAGGTTGGGAGCAGCAGTGTTTTCACTGCCCGTCTCGGTAGCTTCTCCCTCGTTTAGCGCTCACTAGAAGCTGCAAGATTATTGCGGGTCTGTCAGACCTTCAGTCTGGAGGTGGTCGTTTGTATCCAATTTCAGTGAGCGCTCAAGGCGGAACGAGGTCGTGGTAAGAGGCCGAGACTTCTCGCTTCTGCAAGCTTTATTCCCTCCGTCCCTGCTGCAGACATCTGGCATTTTCCGAGAGAGGGAAATCAAGCCAGGAAAATCACCGTCGAATGGAACGGAGATAACGCAAAAAGAAACTCTGATGATGGATAGACACGTCAGAGCTTAAAACTGTCAGGACAAGAATCTTTCAATGCGCTACACTTTCAATGTATTTGAATACAATAAAATATATTTATATCCATAACTTTGCTCATACGTAGCCCGATTTATTCTTCGCTCCTTCTACGGGGTCGCGCATCCCGCAAGTGATGCACGCGAACAAAAAAGCGCCTCATCCGTAACAGCAGCCCGCGTGTGCTGTGAGCGAGTCACTCATCGCCATAGAAATCCCGTTCTCTCGTTTACTACTGCTCAAACAAGACATGAATGAGTCGACTTCCAGCGCTTGAGGGGATCTCGCGTTTCGGACGAAACTGAACTCGGGGTCATCGGAAACGCTCGGTTCGCATGTCGAAAGCTTGAGTTTTTTGTCCCTGCTAATTGGATTGAATTTTGGACGTTGACTCACAAGCGCTGGCTTCGGCCTCAAAAACGGCTCGAGTCGCACGTGGAGTTCCCGGAAGTCTGTATGCCCGGACAGATCGGAGGAAAACTGCTTGGCAATTGGAAGACACCCCAGCACCCATTCCAGAAGATGCAAAGTATCAAAATCATCGAATTAAAGATTGGAGAACTCGATCGATTCGACAGTGCCTGATATCGGAGCCACGACAGGGCACCGTCGGATAGAGCTGAGAAGGAGGGCATGATCCCTCCGCGACCCCGTCGGATGCGTGATTCAGGTCCATTCTTTCCTCGTGGATTCGACGATTCAGCCCTCGTGGTTGTAGCTTCGGGGTCGAGAGTAGACTCGGACAGGTTCAGGTCTATTTCGAAATGGTCGTGTATTTGAATTTCGACAAAACGCGAAGCCGTCGAATCTTTCACTGGGAATTCCGCGAATTGTTCGAAGAATCCTGTCATGGCAGCTTCCGGACTACCACGAGCTCCCAGATGTCCACATTTTTCGAGAAAAAAAATCGGGATGCGAGCGTCACGCCTGTTCTTCTCCATTGCCGGAAGGAACCGGAAACGATTCCGCTACTCTGGCGAAGACAGTTGCGTTCCGGAGAGATCTATTGAAGCGAAATTTTAGCACTGTGATCGATCCGACAGAATTCTGGAAGAGCAGTCTCCGAAGGAAAAATCGTCGACGTATTCTTCGTGTCCGAAGACCACGGCTATCCGTGAGGATCATCCCCTGCGGAGGCCGGAAAGGAGGAAGCTGGCGTGAATCAGCGGTAGTCTATTGGCGAAGAGAAATTCCTTGACGGGAACCCTGAGAAAAATACTGATAGGAAGAGAGCGACCGATCTAATATTTGTGTTGTCTCTGTTCGCCGAAGAAGCAATGGAACGCCGTCGTAACTAATGATTATGGCTTTGAACGCTCACGAAATGAAGAGCTTCCCTCATGTTATCACAAACTATGGGACTGGGCACTTGAAATAAAACGAATTCAGATCCGATATGCGGAATTGATATTCGGGTCCCCCTCCTTCGGACTCCCAAACGCCCGCTCCGACTCAGATGCTTTGAGACTGGAAGAGAGCTATGTACCTCGATTTTTTCCCGCTCATCATCACCGGAGCTATGGGTAATGAAGGAGAACACGCTCACATTAAGTGGTACGTAATGAATATGAAAGAGTTCGTCTTCATTTTTATTTACAGCATGATAACAAAGCCTAGATTGCGTACCATAGGCTCTAAATGAATATCATGTTAACTTACAAGGAAGAAGATCAATTCAATTTTCTCAAGTCAGTCAATGTACAGTAAATCTTTACACATGAGGCTTCCGACGAGAGACGCCTCTATGACGCGATCGAGCTTCCGTTCGAAAGGAGGGAAAGATCGGCGTAGAAGAATCTTGAAAAAAAATATTCAGGAAATCAAGCGAGTTGCTTCCGATTTCGATCGGTGGTAGCGTTGGCTGCTCTCCGCTAAGAAAGTTCCACGAGATCTATCGAGAGCTCAATGAGCATTTGAATAAGGATATCGACCTCCTTCGTCGACGAATGGGGAACTATAGAAGGACTTGAGGGCGAAGCGAAGCGTCAACGATCGGTCGAACAAAAAGAGACTAGGTACGAGTTTCGAAAATTCACTCATCACCGATTCATTCATCCGTAAATCCATCGATACATAGTTTGATCGAATCTTCGAGGATTCGAGTCGTTCTTCCTGTGAGTTCAACGTAGTGATTTTTGATTCTTTTCGCTTCCCATTAACGCAAAGCATTCAGTCAGACACACTCTGAGCGTTTCTCACGTGACTCTCGGATACTTTTCGGAACATATACGTTTTTCATGAGCAACACATGTCCACCATCTACCGCCGATATCCGAAATCAGCGTGGCGGACACTCCGTCTTCTCTAAATGCGATTCGACTTTCGAACCATCCCTGCCCAGCCCTCCCGCAGCCAGCTCACCCGAGGATCTTGACACGAGATGCGATTTCTCGAATACTGTACAATTCTTGTGATTTAAATTATATCTTACATCCACCAGTCCCTCCCGGGAACAGAGAAGTGGATCGCTTATGGAGTTGACTAATGTTGAGCGGCCGAGCACAGACATTACACAGATAGGGTTGTTGTGGTTTTTGTTGCTGTATGATGTGAGGAGCGGTGTTTCTCCCTGTTGATTTGACCCAGAGCATTGAATCACGTTCTTCCTCGGCCATTATCATCATCATCATCATCCTCGACCTCCGTGTCATCTCTGCTACAGTATTCTGTCCTTGTCGTCGTCGGCAGTGCTGATGTTGTTGCCGCTGCTGCCTTGGCTGCTGCTCTCGTCTTCTATCCGATGGGTTGTGCTCGAGGGCTTGACTAGCATTCGAACTCCGAGGAACTGATGACACCGTTGAGATCCTTCATGAGCCCCTCGAGATTCGCCATCTGAGCGTCGAGCTCCTCGTTGAACGGTGTCTGGAAATTGGTGAACTGGTCGTTCGAGTCCCACCAATCGATAGCGTACAGAGAGGTTAGTCGAGAAGGTCAATCAAGCCAACACAGAGGAGTCTTTCGAGCAGAAAACGAGAATTTCAACGGTGCCTGCATGCATGCATGCATGGTAAACGTGGAATCCGGGGCCGGCCGGGAGCATTCGACGATTGAATCATCGGCGAGCAATCAATCGATTGGGATGGATTCGTGGAATGCCCTCACGGATCGTGACGAATCACTGGCTCTGCTTTCGATGGATCGACACAGGAGACCGCAATGTTGGAACAAGGAGCACTCGAGTCGAGTGAGGCTCCTAATGACAAGCGACCAACCCGCGCTCGCGATCCTGAGGACATCCGCCAGCCAGCGGAGAAAGCGTTCTCTCAAAGACGTCCGACCTAGACTGGATGACACTCGAACGTTTGTCGATTAATCAAGGTTAGTCGAGTTATGCGTGTACCGCAATTGCTGTCTCGAGCGACGATCCGAGCTAGTCCATCAGTCGGCTGGCTGGCTTGCTTGCTTGCTCGCAATGTGCCTAACAACGCGTAAAGCGGATGCCCTTGCACGCCGTCCGAGACTTCGTGAAGCCTGCTCTGCCCTACCATAATAGCTGCTACTCTGTACGGCCTTGCTCGGAAACAATTACGCGCCTCGTTCCCGCCGTTGAGAACAGAGCCGGTGACAGTGGGGAACCGAGAATTCTCTCAAGTCTAGAGCATGCCAATAAGATTCCACGCATTCCTAAAATTGAACATTATACAGCAAGCATTGGATGAATGCAAGACGAGACGATGGCACGATAAATGGCTCCAATCGGCTCGGAGCGCGAGAAGCTCCATCGAATCTTGCCGAAAGCCACAAAACAAAAATGAAAGACATCAGGAGAATCAGACATTGCAACCTAGACAGGAAATCGAGTTTTTCCGGATTTGAGAAAGAAATCCATGCTCGGATGAAATGCGGAACGACAGCCGTGGAGGCTGTTCAGCTGCCAGATCATGCAGATTGAATCTCAAGCCCATGCCGACTCTCTCGATTTGAAAACCAATTATACTCACGTTGAGATCCTCTCCCGCCCGGAGGCCTGCGTTGGGAATTACGACCCGCTTCACGCTGTTCTGTCCACTCTTCTGCGGACTTGAACCATGCATAGTTGAAGGTTGGGGCCGCACCACTGAAATTAGGTTCAAGAACGTCTTTGGCGATTTTCGTTTACCGATAGCTTCGACCATAATAACTCCGTTCCCTATTTCCGTCAGCGTCCCCAAAGCCATTTTCTGCGGCCTTTTCATCCGTGGATTCGCGAATCTTCGCTCGAGGAGGAACGTGGGTCTGACGGAAGATCACACGGGGAATTTCTAACAAACACTCGCCGGACCTTTCCTCTCCCTCCCCTTCCCCGCTCCCACTGCCCGGTGGCTGCCCCTATTCTGCTCCGGATGCCACGCTATGGCCGAAACAGACAAAAAGGTTCTCGACCCCCTCGCAACACGCTGAGAGCCACGCCAGCAATTATTTGAGTTGGCACCGATGCGGCTCGCAGTATTTCCGTGATCCGAACGCCCAGCACAATATTTCATGCACTGAATGGACCTAGCCCTGAGCCGAGAATCACGCGGTCCAGCGAACTCACCGACGTGCTTCGGAGGCGGAGGAGTTGACGAACCTCCCTGACCGGGAGAAGGCACACTGAAGCTTCGCATTTGATTCAAGCCTGGTCCCTGAAGGCTCGCTCTTTGCTGCCGTCCGATCGTATCGTAACCAGCTGAAACGAGCGCGAAATAGGGAAATTGATGAACGGCTCAATTGGAGGCAGATCCCCGATCGTGTCGGAGTTTTGACCACTACGGAGATAATTTCGATTGAGAGCCCGTGAAGCGGAATGACATGATTCGAAATGGGGTCACTCACTCATCATGTGAGTAGGGGGTGGAGGTGGGGGCGGTTGATGTTGCTGAGCCATTGTCGCAGCCGCGGCCGCGTTCGCGGCCAGGAGTGCTGACGTGTAAGATGGCACCTGATTCGACGGAATGCCCGCCATGGACTGCAGCGACGGCAACGGTGGAATGACGGCTTCGTACGTCGAGCTGGGCATCGGATGATGGCGCTGGAAACAAGCGTTAACTCATGAACAGCTGCCTAACAACACATTGATAATTAATTCCGAACAGCAATTAGTACGTTGAACACTTCACCAGACTACCGAGGATTGCTGTTTTCTTTCAACCTACCGATAAAGTCGTTAGCCCGTCGATATGATGAGGCATGTCCATCATCATATGGGCGCGAGGCCCTGTTGAATACTGGTTGCTCGTTCTATGATGGTAGGGCCGCCCAAGCGTTGCAGAACTTCCAGGTTCGATGGTCGGCGCTGTCAAAACAACAGGTTTTATTCATAGTGCCTCCCATCGTATGGAGTTCGCTCCCAGGAAGACGAAGAGGAGCATCCGAGAAGATAGGCGGCTCTCGGACGAATTCTTCGGAGGCATAATCGAATTATCATTCTTCGTGAACCGAAAAGTAGAACCCTTTTCCGAGAATCCCCATGAAAACAAACAACTGTATGAATTTTATCGCTCTAAGAGCACACTGGAGCTCCTATGAAATCGATTATAAAACTCGGATTCGATTACAAGCCTATTGTACAATGACGGGCCCTCGAGTAAACGGGCGAACCTAGTCCGGCGATGAGTTCACTTCCCCTCTGGCGACGTGCAAAGCATGGCGAGGGAGTTGGAATTAAAAGAGTTGCACTTAAAAACTCCGACCGAAGCACAGGGAGCTCATAGCCCGAACATCGACGGTGGCAAGAGCAGAAACATTCCCATTCTGAAGTCTAGGTCATCATGCATTGGGAATGCCGGAGCTCGTATGCCTTCAAATGAAATAGCCGAACGGGTCTCGCGGCTTCTTCTGGATTCATCGCATCAATGGTAAGAATTTTGCTCCGATCTTGTCTGCTGTCAACTAATAAGGGGGGACGCGATACCTGGGGTCTCATCTTCCGCAGGGCGAGACATAGACTTGGAGAATACATCGGACCGAATACATAATGCCTAATTATGTATTCGGTCGAATACATAATTAGGCATTCAATCAATCGAGGAATCGGTCAAAAACACAAACTTACAAGAATAAAGCAGCGGTTTCAAGGCGGGATCTACCGATGTCGGTCTCGATGGATACTTTGGCAGAAGTGGACGATCCGTCCGGCAACTGCTCCCACCGTCACTCGCTCCGGAATCTAAAGTTGCCAGAGGACGTCATGCAAATTATTTCGGAGGAAAACACTCGACTAGCAATTCAATGAAACTGATGACGATTATCCTCCGAGAGAGGATTCGAAAGAAAACTTGAATAAGATCAAACCCCAGTTCGGAAGGTTCGTGCAGGATGCGACAGTCAACGATGCTTACCCATATACAGCGACTTATTCTTGTCAAGGGTTCCCATGTAATGATCCTCGATCGACGATACGTCTTGAGAGTTTCGTTTCGACGAAACTTCATCAGGAAGATCGCCCTTACAATTTTTCAATTCCATTTGTTCGTGATGAATCCAGAGATCTGGCGGCTTCTCATCACCAATGGAAGTCGTCCCAGCGACCATCTGCGCAGAGAATGAGAGCAGTGAAGGAAAGCTTCGTTCTTGTGCAACAGCTTCAAAACTTCCCATTCTCCCAGATATCCAGAGCCAATATGTCCCGCAAGGAATGCGGGAGGAGTCCAAGTCCACAGAGAACGGGACTCGTGCTCTCGACACAGCATTGGGATGGAATTCGTGGGAATCCCTCAACCCGAGCTCAGATACACGTTTGCCTCGTCGAAAGGCAACGAAGACGGTTCCGACATCTGATAATAATCACTAACCTTTGTCGCCTTATCTTTGCGTGCGCTCCTGGTCGTGGTTTTCTTCTTCCGACAAGCCATGACGCAAACTGTCAAGAACAAGAGCACCAGCACAATCCCAACACCGGCTCCAATAAGAACCACTAGACTGGATGTCAACAGGCTCTCTGTAAATCAATGCTTTTTATGCTTTGGACGAATCTCGCGGAAGACCGGCGCGGTTCATTAGGCGTCACCTTCATTCAATTATTCGGAGCGTTTGATTTGCTCTCACGGCGTGAAGCAGCTGGAAAGATCCTTTCGGATCTTCTATTTAGGCGGAAGGGAGGAATGCGAGATTTTTACAACGAGCTGATGATTTCAAATTAAGGGGATGATCGGAGAGCATACGGGGGGAACGAGCATTCAAAAAACGTTTCAAATCGAAACGTCAAAAGGTCACGTCATCTCAAATGGCAAGGACGAAAGGGGAGAGGCGTGGCAAAAAAAAAGATTCTCACCCAAAGTAGGATGTGGTCCGAGAATCGTCGTCTGGAAGCCTAGAGGGAGGAAGGGTAGGGATCAATGATGAGGGATCTGACTCTCCGACAGACATTCTCAAAATGTTTTCCAGGTTCACAACTCGGAGCTCGAACCATCCATTTTGATTGAAACAGCTGATTCTCGACCTATGAGATAAACATGCGAGCGAAAAACCGAAAACAATTTCACTATGTGAAGCGCACTTTTCCCGGTGTGGTGAGCGGCCTCCTCCGACAGCGGACCGTGACCCTTCGAATTTCGAGCCTGAATCCTGAAGTAGTAAACCGCGTCTGAGCTCAGACCGGAAATCGATGTCGAGAGCTTGTCGCCCGAGACGGTCACATTTCGTTCCCGTTCGTTCTGTCCAGGATTCGTCGTGTACACGATCGTGTAGCCTTGAAAGAAAAAAAAACGGAATTCCGAATGAGTATTTTGTTCCCCTGCTCCACGAAAGCGCCTTGTTCGGAACGGGACCGAGGAAGCGGACCTCCCATGATCCATCGCTGAACGATATTCAATGGGAACTGTTTTCGTCCGATTAGGGAGGGTCATATTCGACTTCTTGTCGGGCTGGATTTGTCGTACAAGCAACTATTCCACAAGTCGGGTGATCAAGCGACCGACCGCCTGACCGAGTCTCCGGCCGACCTACCGCCGACCGACCAACCAACCCGCTAGCCGACCACCATTCATCAGTGTCAACAACGCGTGAAACACAACGACTGCACGATTTGTCGTTCAGTGGCAGCGGCGGAGCATGTGAGGGGATGACGTCAGACATCAATTTAATAGTGGCTTCTTTAATACAGGCCGGCGAAACCGAGAAAAAGGAGGAAACTCACCCGTAATGATTCCGTTGCTCAGCTTCGGGGGTCCCCAGTGCAACGTCACAGATCCCGGCTCGGAATCCTCGTCGACGGTGAAATCCCTGGGAGCACTCTCGGGCAGCGCTTCTTGAGTCGTGTTGAACACTGCCATGCTGTAGGCACTTTCACGTCGCGTTCGATGGACCACCTTCAAAGAATGGCAAAACGAGTAAGTTTTTAATTGGATTTCATCTTGAGCGAGAGCTGGGGTCGGACCGAGCTCGCGCACCGACCCGCCCTCACGTAGTCGTGCACGCACTCCAAACTTCCGTCGCCACTTCGACGACAACGCCGATGCACTGACGGCAGGGAGCTCGTTCTCGAAGTGTCTCACGGGATTATTTTTTCAACGTCGATGACTCGATTATGAAAGTTTTGCCCCCGTCGCAGAAATCCGCATCAATTTTTGAACGGAGTAGGTACTCCCGATCTGGTCGCTCTTGGGATTTTCTCGGGAGAAGCCCTTTCACCGAGCTGGGCCACAGCGGTGGGATGCCGACGTGGAATCCTTTTGCGTGACAGAGGCCGTGATTCCATAATTTCCCTTTGAACCGCAATGGCCGAGTGTCGAACTCACCTTCACAGCGAACTCATACTGCGTGAAAGGCTTCAGGTCATCGAGCATACAGTTGAGTTGCGTAGAGTTGGCGTATTTGTACTTCGGCGAACTCAAGGCTTTGTAGCGAACCTGGTAGTGACGATTGCCCGTTTGCCCGGAGGGCAGAGTGGTATCGGTCCAGAAGAGCACCACAGTTGTCGGGGACAGGACCAGAGCTGGCGAGACAACGTTCACATTTTGTTTCTTCCCGGAACTTCCCATCGGACCTAGTTTTCTATTTGTCTCCCGTTTCCTCTCACCCACAGCGATTATTTCCTTTGGAGCCGAACGGCCGAAGTGGAAGTACACAACATAGCAATAGTCGAAAACGACGCCTCTCTCCAACCCAGGAGTTGAGATGGCGACTCACCTGTTAGACCGACTGGAGGAACGAGTGCGGGTTGGGTGGGTGTGGATTCCCGCAAAGTCTTCACCGTGTCCTGTAGGGGTTGCCCTTCCCCGATCCGGTTGTAAGCTCGGACACTGATCACATACTCCGTCATCGGTTCTGAACGGTAGCGACACAGTTAGAAGCATTCGACACCGTGATAGAGAATGCGATGATAGAGAGGGAGAAACAGATTTTCAGAACGATTTGAAGGCTCAACTCACGGAGATCGCTGATCGTGAACACTCGTTGAGCTCCCTCGATTGTTTTCGTGTGAAGATCCGGCACTCCCGGTCCCCAACCGATGCGATATCCTCTGACCATAATATTCCTATCTCGGGGAGGGAACCATCCGATTGTGAGACTCCGGGAAGCGGGTTTCGCCTTGAGACCCGTCGGTTGACCGGGCACGTTGTTCTCTGCGGGGCACGATAGCAGATAAAATACAAACTACGGTCCGCTGACGAGAGTCACCGCTTCCACACTTCCTCAAAGATGACAGGCTCGGACGAGCTCTTCCGAAGTGGATCATAATCGTAGAGGTGGACCTTTTCGGCCTCATCTTACCTTCGAGATCTGTGAGGTAGTTATCTGTCGAGAACCACTCCGTGGCCGGACCCGTTCCGTTGACGGTCAATGCGGCGATTTTCACGAGATACGTCTCGCCTTTCAGCAAATTATTTATCGTGTACGATCGATGGTTTCCATCTGTCGTGATGATTTCGCCCTTGCGACTGGTTAGCTTGTATCGGATTTTGTATCCCGTGATGATCCCGTTCTGGTGTTCCACGGGAGGCGGCTCCCAACGAACGATCAGCGACGTCCCGCCGACTTTTTCCAGCGTCACATTCTGGGGCGTCTCAGACGGAACTACGGGAAGAGACATAGCTTGAGACTGATATCTCTTTACACGTGCAAGCGACTATGCTGTAGAATGGAAGCGGCCCTGGAGGGCGGAGGACCTCGTCCTGCTCCGCCCTCCGAATTCAGCAGAGCAAAGAAGGTGCACAAATCTCCATCGGGGACATTTTTCCGGAGAGGAAAGACAATTCCCCAATTGAAGAGCTCAACGAAGGATTAGGACTTGAGTATGTCGGACTGAACTTACTGTCGGAGAATGTCTTCGCCACGACTTCTGCAGAAGCTACACCCGTGCCGTTCTGGGTCACGGCGTTAACCCAGATGGTGTACTCCGTAAAAGTGTCCAGGTTGTCGATAACGGTCGACGTGGACCAGCTGCTGATCTTCTGCTCCTCGTGGGCAAAACTTGAGGTGCTGATCTCCTGATAGTAAACTTCATACTGGACCCTTGTTTTCGGTGAGAGATTGATCGGTGCTTCCCAGTCGACTTCAATAGCCTTCACCGATATAGGGTTGGCTTTCACGTTCAGTGGAGGGCCCAAAACATTGTTCGCGATGTCGGCGTTCGTTTCAACTACTATAGCATCGGAGGACTCGCCTAGACCGTAGGCAGAGTCCACGGCGACCACCCTGAACGAGTACTTTGTCGAAGGTTTTAGATTCTTGATGATGATCTCATCTCTTTTGTGCTGAGTGGTATTCTGCACGCGTTCCCTAGTTGAGCCTTCGGTTTTGTAGAAAACCGTATAGGCAGTGATACCTGTCCGGAATGAAAACAGGTCAATTCCAAGACTTTCACATTGATCGAAACTTCCGGCAATCGTCTCGCGCAGGACCCGTGGAACGCTCGTGAGATCTGAGCTCATCTAGACGAATTCTCGATAACGCCTCTTTCGGAAGTCTGGGAGACAGTGTGCTCAAAGTTGCCAGGTTCGACTCCGGCAAGAGACTTCTTCGCGAAGGCCGCAGTTTCCAATCCGTCGAACAATCCGGCCTTCGTGGAACGCTTAAACGATATGTCAGGGGGGATAGAATGCACTACGCTACACTGGACACAGCCGTGCCCTGAGCCGATCTAATGGTTCGGAAAGCGAAGAGGTAATTATCCAGAGAGTGTGGAAAGTTCCTCGAGGAGTCACCGAGAAATAAGATCCACCGAGGAACAAGTGAGAAATACAAATTGCACACACGTCAGGCGGACCACCCTAAACTTTTCACGCCGCGCCGTGGAATCTCGAACAGTGTTGACTATGCAGAGCTGTTCCCGAGGTGGTTTGTTTTGAATTCGAGCGAACGATTCCGTCGAGGGGAATTTCGGAAGGCTCCGCGAGAGAAAAATACGTGCCGACGGTCCGAAGAGCTTCGAAGGATATACTCACTGTCGGCGTTGTGCTGAGGAGGTTGCCACGACAGAGAAATGATGTTGGCAGTGACCACGCGAGCTGTCAAACCTTGCGGCGCTGAAGGTGCTTCTTTGGCGTTGCTCCGCGTTCCTGAGGTTTGAGACAGAGCGGGAAGTGGCATTGAGGCTGTTTGTTAGTAGAGAGAGACAGAGCAGGAGAGACAGGGAGGGCGTAGCAAGGAAGAACGGGACGAGAATAGAAGACACAATCGAAACAGCAGAGTGAAAATAAAGGAGGAAAATCAAAGCAAACAGATGCACCGGTAGAAGGAGTAGAAACACAATCGAAAGAGACAGCACAAAGTGAAAGTAAGTAGAAGAAGAAAGAGGAAGGAAGGAGAACGGAGGAATAACAAAATCATCATGTGAGTATTGGGCCCAATACGCATCGCAGTCGTAGCTGCCGCTAAACTCATCAAATGAGAAATAATGAGACAGCTGCGCAGGCTCGCCATCTGCAGCTTTCTGATGAACAGCAGATCCGCAACAGCAGAACTGTTGTCGCGTGGAAATGTGATGAATGGATAATATACGATTGAACGCGTGAACTAATTGAAACGAAGACTAACGGATCGGAGGAACGACTCCGAGGAGGAGACGTAAAAAATTGTCGAGGATTCCAGAGGGTATTCAACAACACGGATCGAAAGCTGTGAACTCACCTTTATCGAGAATGACGAGTTGAGCAGAGGCTTGCGCGGTACCCGCCTGGTTGGAGGCCACGCATTGATATACGCCTCGGTCGTTCTGGACACTCCCAAGAATTCGAAGGTCGTGTCCTCTGACTAATTGGAAATAGCCGGTGTAGACCACAGCATCACCGTTTTTGAACCATTCCACTTTGGGCTCCGGAACACCGAAAACGTCGCATTCGAAGAGCGCATCCTCTTTTTCACGGACGGCTTGATGCTGCGGCTGCGAGCGGAATGTCGGAGGCACTGCGAAACGACAACAACAATGGGGGCTATCTTGACGGCCACTTGACGGGGAAAACCTCCCCCACGGCCCCTCCGTCTGCGTCGGTTTATTCGTCATTCGAACGACCGTCTCTGCCCGGGTGTAGACCGTGCTTTGGTTCGTCTCGCTATAAGTCAGCCCGTCTCAGAAGGGATCGCGAACTCGTGTGCAAGCGCGCTAGTGTGTTTGTGTGTCATGTCGTCTCGTGAAAGATGAAGCCACAGACCTACTATCCAACCACCCACCCACTCACCACCGAGCGAGCAGACGACCGACAGTGAGGCATCGAGTCTCCCCGCTCGAGAAAACGTATTTTAATGGAACAACCCGTGCTGTCATTTCTCGCAAGCAAAGAATAATGAAGACGTCATCAAGGAATTGTAAAAAAGAGCCACACCGATAGACGGCTGCGGCAAAGAGCAGAAAGTTCCTGACTAACGTTCCGAGAAGTTTTCCTCACCTAGCACTGTCAGTGTAGCACTGGCATCGAGGGAATCTTCTTTGTTCTCGGCACGACACATGTAGCTCCCCGCGTCCTGGGGCTGAACGTTTTCAATCTGTAAACTGCCTACACCTACCACACGGAAGCGACTGTCGAGGTTGCTGAAACGTTGAATTTAAAGAAATTAGTCAGAAGAAAAATCTCGCTTCCTCCGCATCGAACAAAATTGAATAAATTCCTAGAGCATTGAAGTTCCCGATGGGGGTGGGTCGACCCGCTTGAGCGCTCCGAGAAGCTGACGCGAACCCCCCGGAATTTCCCATGGCGTTTTCCTCAAAACCCACCTCATATCTATGCTGGCACCGTCTTTGAGCCATGAGATCTGTGGTCGGGGATGTCCATTGGCGGCGCAGTCGAGGGTCACGCGATCCCCCTTGACAGCGCGCACCTGAGAAGGTTGAGCGATGAACACTGGAGAGCTCAATTGCCGCCGGTCTCCATCGCTGGTCCCTGAGTGTGATGAAGGAGGAATGACACGGAGGTATCCGACTATGCTCAGACGAACCTGCTTGGGGAAGAAAAGTTCCTTGAATGAGCTGCTCTCGATTAAATCCACAATCACCTATTCTGGCTTCGACCATTTCCCGGATCGACTCTTTATACGTGGCAATGAATTCATGCGATCCGATCGTTCGGAGGATCTATAGCTCCGATGACGGACCCTGCCCACGACGGGCTACCGGCGGCGGGGAACTGTCAGCGGAATGCTCAGCGCGGGCGCATTCCGAGTGAGACATACCTTGTCACCGGTGGTGACTTGGCACTGATAAGGACCCTCATCAGCTGAGTTCAAGGCGTCGATCTCCAAAGCGCCCGAGGGCAGTTGGACCATCTTGAGAGGGTCTAGTCGAAGGGGAGCTCCGTTTCTCAGCCAAGTAATTCTGGGTCGAGTCGTCCTGGCCGAGGAAACTGAGCATGGGAAAAATGCTGTCTGGCCTGCATACAGGCTCAGGTTGCGAGGCTGTTCTTCGAAGGTAGGAATTGCTGGAACGAAAACAGAAACGTTTTAGTAAAAAGCTACCGTCGGACGTTGAAACGGTATCGAGTTACAGGAGATGACGTCGCCGCTGCTGCTGCTGCTTCGGGAGATGGCAAGAGAACAGAAAAAGCGACAAATCAGTCTCCATGTCAACAACTTTTGATGGAAAGCGACACAACACTGAGATCTAGCGTACGCCTTTTCCCTTTACTCCCAGCGGAAGAAAACCAACGACTCGGAACGACGTTGCGGAAGAGAACCAGACGCGACCAAACAAATTTCTTTTCCGCTTTGCGTCGACAGATCGACGATCGAGTGCGAGTGCCGCTCCGACCGAATCAATTGAATGGATAGTATCTTTGCTAAAGACCACAACGATTATTGAAATAATGATGATAATTATTTTTCTTTCATGAAGCTCTCTCTCCCCACATTCCCAAACTATCTCGGGTTCGAATCATAACTCTGTCGGGGCTAAGTCGGGAAGACCATTGCCAAGGTGAATGGAAAAGCGAACCTCGATCGTTCTGTGTGTTTTCTTCGCAGCTTGTTGCAAACTCACTAAGATGCCCCTAATGGCAATACTCACAATATGTTATGTCGAGTCTAGCAGATCTACTGATTATAGTTCCCACGTCTGGCAGAGTTGCCAGACATTGGTAGACGCCTTCATCTGTCAGCGAACCTCTCCGCTGAACCGAGTTTATGTACAAAGATCCGTTCGAGTGGAGCCGATGCCGTTTCTCGTCTAGCTGTACGGGCACTCCGTCTTTCCGCCATCTGCAATAGAACATCGGAACGATCAGCTTTATCAGTAGGCGGGGGACATTTTTCAAATTTCTTCTTCCTCTCGGTTCGATTGGACGATTCTTCATCCCTCGGTCAAAGACGCGCTCTTCCAATTTCGACAGCTTTAGCTCTGGAACTTCATTAAACATCATCAGACCGACACAAAGCGGCGGGATTGCCACTCGCCGGATCCTCCTTCGGTGAGGGAAGAGGGTCGAAGTTTGCGAGAAGCGGACGGAAGAGAACTTCTATCGTTTGGCTCCGAAGAGTCAGCTGAGGTCGTGTTAACTTTTCCAAAATACAATTACGTGAGTTTTAGGAAGACAAGTCGCGCACGACGCCTTTCGGAGCAACCGGGAGCGCCCGCTCGAGTGGCGGCACGCTTCGACTTTATAGCTATTATAGTAATGAGCTCAAAAAGACGAGCGCTCGGCGTGAGGCAGGTTGTCAGGGCTTCGACCTAAACAAATCTGTGAAGCTTCATGTCGTGGTGAGGCTGAAGGCAGCCGCTAGCCTCGATCGCAGAGAATCGCGAGGTTCGCATATGATTTTTCGCTGGAATCAACATTCAATAGGGAATCGGCGTTCTCCGGTGTGTCCGCCTCTTCATCTGTCGTTCGCTTCCCATTAGCGCAGACAGGTCGCTCGACGGTAACTGGAAGAAGTTGTGCCGTGGCGCGCACCGGAGAGCAGATCCGCTGCGCCCAATGCTAGCCGCTGATGAATAGTCCGCGCGATTCAATCCGTCATCAGGATCCTCCGAAGCAAACTTCCTATTAACCCAGATGCATACACGACTGGGAATAGATGATGATGATGACGACGATGAGCATCATCAGAACTAGCGGCAGCGTCGCCGTGCACGACAAGTCTTCGTTGCGAACGTCGAGGGACCCATATATGCGACCATTTCTCGGCAACGTATGGGAGCAGTCCGTCCGGGTTCGACTGTCCGAGGACTCGCCCTTCCTCGGGCGAGGTTTCAAGGAAAAAACCTTTACCTTGACGACGCGCCGATCTCATAAGCGGCGGGAGTATGCAGAATGAATATTGCATAGTATTATTTTCCCGAAAGAACCCGATAAATACCTGATCTGAGGATGGCCTATGTTCGGGCTCGAGAAGGCTCCACAATGCAAAACTATCGGCGCATTTTCAGCAACGGCCGAATCCGAAGGTTCTTCACTGAAACCTAACTCCACGAATTTCGGAGATGATGCCGCTGCAAACAAAAAGAGTTTCTCTATAAGTAGGTTCGTTTTCCATTTCGATGTGACGAGCCCACTCCTTCAGTCCCGGATAGCGGGACGATCTGCTTGGATGCGATGCTTTATTGCAGCCCTGTCAAGGGACACGTCCAGGTTCGGGCGGAGAGTATTTTGCGTGTTTGTGAGCGCTCATGTGATACTCTCTCGTAGAAATGAGTTGCTCCGAAGAAGAACTTTCTCCCCACTGACTGCAGTCTGCCAGCGCTAAAGCGACAAAGGAAGCCAGGACGGCTCGCCGCCGCCGTCGCGTCCCCCGCCACCACCAGTGGAGAAATGAAGGTTCTCATGAATATTCACTGGCCGCTATGGAGGAAATTGTACAAGCATCGCTTGCTACCACTCAGCCAGCGCGAAACTTTCTGCTTTGACGTCGGTCGTCCTTCCTCTCTCGTCGGCATCCGATCGCTCCGAGGATCATCATGGAAATCATGCTCATCATCATTCTCATTGTGATCGTTATTATTGGCCTTATGAGAAGTGGGAAAGACGACGAGCATGAAAACGCGGGGCAGGGACGAGCCGAACTCGGAAACCAGATCCGTGTTCTTCGGAGTCATAACAGAGCCGGTTGGGGGCCTGACTTCTCCTTCATAGAAGTCAGGGCCGGCGACGAGCTAACCTAGGGGAAGGCAGGACCGCCGGGAAGAGGTCCGACCCACCCCCCTTGCGCTGTTCGCTCTAACGACGACGATACGACGGTTCAACCCATAAAATGTAACAATACCCTCAGGCTTTCGATGTCTCCTTCTCTCCGCGTGCCAGTGAGTGAGTGGGTGTTGTGATGTTGTTACTCCCCTTGTGCTCGTGTAATTGCTCAGCGGCTAGAGCAAGAACAACCGTATTGTCCAGCGACTACTTACATTGGGGACGACCAGTAAAAGAACAGAGGGAACGACATCTAATTCTAACACGGACAATACAGCAGAGCAATAATGATGGAATTGATATTTGGACTCGAGCTTCCCTCCTCGCTGAACTGCATGGACACGAGGATGCCGTCACGCGAACGGGCGACCCTCTCGAACGCGAGAGGGCTCCGATGCAGTCGGCCGTCAAGAATGTTCGGTTATGTGGACTCCCGTCACAGAGCAGCATCGGTTCCTCGTATCCATGGGGAGGTTCTTCCTCTTTTCGGTCAGGGGAGTATCGAGGAATCGAATCCGAGGTCTCGACTGCGGAACAAGCGTTGACAGCGATGCCGCAAAACAAATTTCGAATAAAAAACTCCTTGATGGATGATACCCCGTGTTCTGCTTCCTGCCCCATTCAAATGGTAACATCCCTCGCTCTTGACCACCAGGGCAAGCAAGCAAACGGCCAGACATCGTCGGATCATTCCCGAGTTGAGTGGATATTCATAGCACACAGTAGACCGCGTCAACTGGACGAGGAAACATTCCGCCTCCACAGACACCCGAGATCCCCTCGACCCCTGTTGTCTCTGCCTAACACGACATCCACGATTACGATGATGGGTGCATATTTTCCGTTGGCTTCTTCGAGCTGCGACGACGACCACTACCACGAGAAGCCGACGACGATCTCCGAACAGCAATATCAGTGGCCAGAGCTCGAATGAGCAGCTTCGCTTCTCGTTTTTTCCCTGACGACCCGCGTCGGAAAAGTTCACGAGGGCCACGTGAACCCCCTATGCTCTCTTCGGGGAACATCCCTGAGTTGAGAGTGGATGAAATTCCCCCCTAGCAACAGGAGAGGGCATAGACGACGGAGCTGCGCCGAGATCTCAGGAATATCGACCTGAAAGCTGAGTGAGGCCCTTCGATTAAGCGCTTGATGGCCATCGAAACCGACCTTGGTTCGAGACATCGGCGTGTAAAGGGTTTTTCGTACCCTTTTCGAACGCGAATGAATCACCTGCACGTTTTGTGGATCTGAATGAACTCTCCGTGTTTGTGAATTTCGGGTACGTCAAGTATTGTACATGGAGCAGCAGAATTTTATCTCATACCTCATCAAATTAGAGTGAGCCCGAGTCGGAAAATCGAAACTTGCCCGGCAAATCGAATAACGACTTTTTGATTCCCGAGCACGTCGTCTCCACGAAAACTGCCGATCGGCCTGCTTGAATGACAGATAGACAATACCCAAATCGATGCGGCGTCATACCCCAACCGCTACTTTCATCATCGGCTCGAGCCACAATTTTCTCCGAACGCAGAGTATGGTGTCGAGACTTTATAGTAACCTCATCAGATCGAGTCGAACGCGACTTTTGCTTCCCTCGCTTAGGAGAGTTGAGATCAAGGCGTGACGGCCCTTGCGAACCTTTCTCCACATCGGAATCAGCTGAGTTCGCCTCTACGAAGAGAAGCACCTCGAGGCAGAGGTCTCGTGGGAGTGGAGGTCGGTCTCGCTCCGGGACGTGTTAGGAACGTTTCGTTCAGACGGGATCGTCCCCGTTACCGAGCAACACAGCTGAAGATACGATCTTGTAATCGGCGAAGAACCTTTAGGATTCGTCCTCGGGACGACGAATCGACCTGGAGCAGCACGGAAACTGCCAACGAACGCTCAAACTCGCTCGAGTGAACGACTCCAATTAAAACAACCGCAGAACAGAGCGAGAGTATGTCGAGAGACCCTTTTTCCTTACACAGCGAAGAACCAACGGAACGGGAGAGAGAAAGAAGAGGAGCAGCTTGACACGCTCTACACGTTCCTTTCTCCCCGCTCGTTCTGTTCCCGCCACCGCTCTCGCCCATCTCTCCTGTTTTCCTTCGTACGTCCCTCCGCTCTCGAGGTTTCCTCATCCTCGCCGTTCACCTTCATGCTTTTTCCCCGTTTCCAGCGTTCCCTCCACACCCCTCCTTGAGTTCCCTCGGTTTTCATCCTTCCACTCGTCGTTCAGCTCCCAGCAGTGAAAGCCACCCCGCAGTGAAGTTGTTCTTCGCGCGACTCTTTTTTATCTCCCTTCATTTCCCCTCTCCTCTAAAATTCTCCTTCGGCGAGTCGCTCACAAACTCACCCTTGCTCGCTTGTTCCCAGCCGCCCGACAACCCGCCGCTGTTTCCCGCCAAGAACAAAGTGCAATTAATGTCCGGGTGGGTTCATGTCGCAGACTCCGTCTTTAAATTGCGCGTTAACCCAAGAGGCTAACATTCCTTCGGAAGCCCTTCGGAAAGCCCTTCAACGCTACGCTATACTCGTTCTACAAGTTTTCCCTTCTCGTGTTCACTTTCGCACTCCTTTGTACGTTCGCTGTGTCACTTCTCGTAGCCTAAACACCTGTTCGGTTCTTTTCACGCTTCCCGCTCCCGAGCGTCGATGTAGGAACGGCGGGGAAGAACGATCAAATTCCCGAGCTATCAGAGTGAACCGGAGTGAGGACATGGATCCGGACATGGATTTTGGAAAGTTCCACGGGCCGCTTCGCTCAACGTTCAGACCGAACTGTCAGACGACTGTTGTCAAGCCTTTCGTAATCCGTCGTTGCAAACTCCACTCCACAGAGCTCGTCCCTCAATTCCCTGGTCGGTCAGGCGGGCGGGCGGTCAGGCGGCCGTCAGTCAGGGGTTTTCTTGAAGGAACTATAGGAAGAAAAGCCGGACGTCACGGGGGTAACATTTTCGCTAATCTTGCCAGCATCATTAGCTGAGAGGCACGGACAGCAGCAAACGGAGCAGCATCGGAGGCGAGAGATGATGACGCGCCGATCCATCTTCGTTTACAGAATAGACGAAGAGAGTGCTGTTCCTGGGCCGTGCTGTCCACCGAAGACATCAGCACAAGCACTATCATCGACGCCTAGTTTGCACAACCGCTACCACCTTTGCAGGTTGGGCGGTGCGTGCGGGAACGCGGTCCGTAGGCTGACTGCTCACTCCCCCTCTCTCGATGGACTATCGTCTCTGTAGACAAGCCCCGGTATGGTAGATGAGAGCCATGTCGGCGACAACGTCTGGCACCCTTCGCTGAACAACGCCACTTCGTCTCTTTTACTAGCATGAGCACACTCGAGGCCGAACCTGAATGCGACACTGCAACGATCGCATCAATACAATGCAAGGAAAACTGCACCATTATGGAGTCGCTGCGGGAGGACATACGGCCCGAGAAGTGAACCGCCGCAACGTGCAAATGCTCCTCACGGACAGGCAAAGCGGTTCTTCAGCGGGACCCATATAAGGGTAAACATCGGACGATTTGTCGCCCGTCGAAGCCGATGCCGAAACCGCCGGACAGGCCTCTTTATTATACGTGCCTACCGTTGTGCTGACAAGCGGCCCATCGCATGCTGGGGGCTATCCGAGTCCATACAAAGCCTCATCCACCGAGATGCGGCATAGAATCTCTCTGGGAGCATCGAGTTGAGATCAATCTCGATTCGGAGGACGTTCAGTCCTGGTCGAAGTCGAAATTCATCGAGAGGAGAGGGACTCGAAACCGACACCGAAAACTCCTCTGGAGCGGATTCCGGGCCGGCAGGCGAGAGTTATGCACTGGGAACGTCCAGCGGCTTCGTTTTCTCTCACCATTCAGATTAGTACCTGGGAAACGCCTTCCCGTTTCTGCCGGGATGGGCTCGGAACGAAATTCCATCTGTTTTTCGCCCGACGTCGTTTCCGCGACTTTGTATCTTCCGTGCTGCCGCCCAGTCAGAGGTAGCTCTTTCTCTAACCCATCGACTGCAGCGGCCGCAACTTATTCAATTGCAAATTGTCACAGATTCGGTCCACGAGACCGAGCGCCCACCCGGCTGACTGCCAGTCGTTCGGCCGGCGCACCGTTCGTACGCCTTCTCCCCGCAAGAAGGAAGTGCGACACATGTTCCTTTGAGGAAAAGAACGAGCAGCGTTGGAGGAAAGGAGTCAGCTTCTTCGGTGGCGACGAAAAAAAAACAACGAAATACGTCGCTTGGTGCCTGGCGAACAACGACTGCGGCGACTGAAGAGAAGATCATTCTCATGGAAATCGAGTTCGTAGCCTTCCGCCGTCGGTTCGAAATCCTAATTACATCGCGCGGCGCTGTCCTCGGTGCGTCGGCCCTGCTCCCCTGAGTTGTCTACGATGCGGTGCCTATGCCCTGCCTCGGGTACTGGAACCTCGACGCACCGTCTATTGATTGCATATGTCCAAAGGAGACGTGGACTGAGGGGGAGGGGGCCGATCCATCCCCATGGAAGTAGTACTCCACCATCAAATTTTGCTCCATCAGGTTATTAGTTGGGGCTTCTTGAGTGGGGCTCGCCGTTCCCAAGGAGGGTTGGGCGTTTGGACTCGTTGAGGTCTTAGTCTAAAGGCACTCAGAAAGTCCGTGTGGCTTTGACAAAGTGTTTTTTTTTCGTCGTTCGTGTCCCTTTCGCTGTCACCGTCGCACCGCCTCACCTCCTGCCCCCCTTCCCCTTCGCCCAACTCCACCATCGGACGCTGAGCTATCATGGTCTCTCTTACTCAACTTAACCACTCGCTCCAACGTGGGCAAAACCCAGTCCCCGAAGCGAGTGCTGGTGATAGCGCACTCCATTTTACCCGCACGGGATTTACCCCGGAGCCCGGATACGACTGGTGCGGCCGAAATCTCCCAGTCAGTCAACGAGGGGAACACTGAATACTGTTACCCCGAGGCTTTTTCATTAAACAAACGACAACTATGGGATAGGGGCTATCTCTAAACTGGGCTGGCGGCGGGTATGAGGCACGGACAGCGTGGGTGAGGAGTTTTTTTGGTGGGGCATATTCTTGATCACGTCGTTCCTCTGTACTCCCGATCTGGGATCCGTGGCCCTTCCTGAGCTCCATTTCAATCATTGGGCTAAAGTGGAGCTCGGACTTCCGAGTGGCAGGGATTCAGTGGGCGGCGAGTACATTGTAATTCGGAGATCTGTTTCGTCATCCGGAAAACTCCGAGGCTGGTCCGGAAGCAGAATCTCGTTACTTCACCTCTTCCTTATCGAAGGCGCTCGGTCAGGCAGCCAGACAGGCCCGTGGGTGGGTCGGTCGGTCGGTCCCGCAGACAGCAAGGCTTTCAACATTCAACAGCTTCCGTGGCAGCGGGATGAAGGATAGCCTTCTCTTCGGAAACTTCGACAGTTGCTGCTTTCTTTCCCGACCACGCAATCGACTCACTCCCCAGCCAGCCTCAAGCTGTTCGGAAAATGTTTTGTAGTGAACTAGGCTATCGATTTCTGTCGAGCACTCGGCTCGACAGAAGCGTCTCCGGAGCTTCTCTCCGGCGGCCGAGACGCACACGAGCCCCCGCGGAAGAGCGGACCGGCGAGGGCTGCCTTCAGCGAGACGCAGCGGGAGTCCTTCTCCATGACTGTTTTTTTCGTGTATGCGGCGCTACCGACTGTGATTGCGAATCTCTCTGTGCCGAGTCTCCGTAACGCAAGAGTTCTATGGACGTTACGATCTACCTTGCGCTCGGTGGGAGCGTAGGCACTAGCTTCGGTATGGCCGAGTTCGTTGAGTGGAAAGGAGGCGTCCGAGCGCCGAATCGTCTCATGATCGACTTCCCGCATGCGGAGAATGAGCTTCTCCGCTGATTTGGGGCCTCCTTGGACTTCCACGAGCGTTCCTCACGCAGCTCCCGATACGTACGGACCCGAGCTCGGTGTGGGCGACCCTAAGCCCGAGTGCCTTGGTGACTCCAAGTCGAGAAGGGAAGACAGAAATATACAGGCTCGTGAGCCGGAATGGAGGTCAGAGCTCGAAGGTCTTCGTCGAACGGAGTCTTCAGCATCACTGGAAATACGGGGGAGACAGAGGGGCGGTCGCTTGCCGCCTCTTAGAAGTTTAAGGGTCCCACCATGTCATTTCGCGATACATCGCCCGCAATCGTTGAGATATTGCTCTTGTTCGTCAATTATTCCATGAGATGTCGATTGCTCGATCAAACGTTCCGAACGGAGTCCGAGCACTGGTCCTGTGTGGTGGCCAATCTGCCAAAAAGGTCTCGGATAGGGCGACGTGCAATCGCACCTAGGTTCGTCGTCACCGCGACCACGATGGCGATAATAGCTCCAAGCGGGAGCGCCTCGACTGTCAAAAACTGCCGGCCATCGCCAGCGATCGCTTTAGACAGCAGCAAATCGAAGGAGCTTGTCAAAGCGAAAGGAACGATGACGATTCGAAAAACGGCGATTTTGACCATAGGGCTTGAATTTTTCCTTAGGGCTCGCATCTTTCTATTTTCTTCCGAAAATTTCGCGCCTCGAGACGACCGCAGCGCGGAAAGACCTCTGCTAGAGAAACTGCGCTCAACTTTCTCGCTCCCGGCCGGGCGCGCTCCGAGCGACCACAACATGGCAACTCATTCCGCCGCATCGCTGTACAGGAAGATCTCATGAGGCTCCTTGGGTCAGCGAATCGGCCGGACGGCAACGCCAAGAGTGACGCTTTTCCGTTTTTTAAGTCTGCCCTCATCTTCTGCTTTTGGAGTGTTTTCGTCTGTTTCCTCTGCTTCTCTCAAAGCCTTGGAAATCTCCCTCGACGCGTCCTGTCACGCGTCTATATTTGCTCCCTTTCTCTCGTTAGCGTTCTTTTCTTTTGCGGATGCACTTTTCCCCTCTGCATCCGGGGGCGGACGGAAATGATGGAATGATGAGACGGGGCTGAGATCCAACTCTGATCCTCAACCGAAAACCAGCGCTTCTCACTTCTCCGTTGATGGTAATCAAAAAGAAATCAACTCTTCTAAACCGCTATCCTCATGACTCGGTCACCCTCTCACTCCGCTTTCTTCACTCCATTCCCGTTTAGGGTTCTTTTCTTTTTTATTCTCCGTCGTCTTACACGTGCACTCTCCGAGTTAGCGGTTTCACCTCAATCTCAATAAAAAAAAGTTTTATACCGGTGAAAACTTCGGAGGACAGTGTGAACAAAACATGACAGTACCGGTGAGTGAGGATAGGATGAAGGGGTTGAGAACGCAAAGTTTCCTAATTGAATCTTCGGAACGCGTCAGACGCTCAATGGCGAGGGGAAGTACAGCTCCAATCCGTACGCAGCGATTGACAAAGGGAGCGTGTCGTCAGACGCAAAAACTTCGGTGTAGGGCTCGCCTCAAATCTCGGCTTCGACGTACGCGACGTATGAGGTCACACCGAGCTCTCAGCGAGATGGAATACGCTCCGAGGGAGCGGAGTCGATCGGGATGCTCTCGTTCAAAATCAGGAATCTCGGAATGTCAGTTCTCGAGATGAGTCGCGATAGGGATCCCTTCCGCGCGGAAGCTCGCCTGTGATTAGGACTACGCGGATTCCGGGAACAGGAGCGTGTGATGAGTCTCGGAAATGCACGGGTACAGTGTCGCGAGGATGTCGGGGCATGTCGCGGCACCGGAGTTGGGAGTAGGAGCCGAGCAGAACAGTGCCGTGAAGCACCGACGAGCCTTCCGTCTCCATCGAAGAAACATTGTTAGGTAGAGGCATCCTCCGGGATCACGGAGTGCATTTGATGATCGCGGGCACGGATGACAGCCACCGTCGCCAGCAGCTGAGAATAGCGCATAAAGCCAAAGTTCCAATTTGATTATAGAACATCCGCGGTGCCCGCCAACCCCCGCTCTGTCTTCCGAGCTTCCTCTATCTGCTCTCCCTTGTTCCCGTCCATGGGCACGTACAACGTACACCATTCAAGAAACCAGTCAGCCAGCCAGACAGCGAGCGAGTAAGTCAGTCGCTCCGCCGGACACCGAGTCAGTCAGTAGTTTCCAACTGAGAGGCTAATGGAATTAGCTTGAAAGGTACCGTTCAGATAGAGAGTAATTACGTCGCGACATGTCGATGTTTATCCGGAGTAAATATCTTGTTTTCGCGCTCTTTCCCACAGGAGGCAGGCGAGCACCATACAATTTGTTGGCTCCTGATGGGAATCGCGTCCGAATGATCGCTCTGGAACATTTTCCGAATAGAGTTACACCGTGATGTGCGCCGTGCAATCACGACAGAGGATGATTCTTATGGAACACGAACCGGAATTGCGGTCCAATCAGCTCTCTCTTCATGCTCGTCAACCGGCATCGGATCAAGTTTACACCCACGTAATCCGCCACGAGTGAATTGCTCCTAACCGCTTCCAGCCGACTAAGTCGCTCCCGCATCGCCGATAGAGCAGAACACGTCGAAGTATTTCATGGCAGACGGTGAAACGTGAACAGTACGCGATCTCATCAATTCCAGAAAATAACTCCGATCGGCTCGAATGATCGGACTTCGACAAGACGTTCATCGAATGCGTAGCGAAAGTGGATGCTCCTAGCGGGAAGGAGGAAAGTATGAAAGTCCTCCTTAATGAGCGAAGTCTTCCGACGATAAACAACCATCACATCTGAGATTCTCTCCGAGCGGAGGCCGCCTCAATGGGAGCCCACGCGAGTCTTTGCGAAACACGCCCCGCCGTGTTGAATTTCCAAAACCATGGGGAAACAGCACGGATGTTCCTATCGGCTGAATCGTCTCGTTCCCTGCTCGTCCTTTCATCGCAAACTCGGAAGCATTCAATCCTGTCTTCGGCGAGTTTTCGAAGTTCCCGATGCCCAGGTATCGGGATGAGTTCGAGCGATTCCTGAACTCGAGTAGTGAGTCTGCATGATTCCATGCGAACAGGCGCTGTCTTGAGCGTCTCCGGTGGCATTTCGCTGCTCAGCATAATTCAGAGGACAGGGAAGTTTCTTTTTTCTTGAGAATGAGGGGTAACCTTCAAACTCGTGATGTTGACCGGGTTACTCGTTCTATCCATCATGAGCCGTTGGAATCCTCGGCTTCCCCGCGACACCTCCTCTGAGCCCCTTTCTTCCGCATCTGGATCGATATGAGCCTTAACGCTTGGAGTCCCAACACTTGACCCTGGCGTTCGCGCGGCCGATTCTTCGGGCGAGCCTCGGTGAGCTCCTCGTGAGGCTGGTCGGGCTTGCGCGGATGGCACATTGTTATGGAGTTGTCCTCATCTGGGCTATATTCGCAACAGAGCTCGACCAAGTTCCATTCTTAGGATGTCGACCTCCAAATATAACACACATTACACGCCGTTCCTGAGTAAGAGCTGGCGAAAATCCGTCGGGTTCACAGATACACGCCGCAACACAGCCCCATACCGGCAACCCACCGAAGCTGAACTACAGTCGTTGATTCAGCTGGCGCACAACGTAAACTACGTCACGTCTAGCAGCCAACAATCCAGCCGGGGTAGCGAGCGTGGTTCAGTGGTGTTGTACGGCTCAACGGGGTCGGGGCCGCAGCTTGGTCCGGGGGTCTCGAGCAAAGAGGAAAACAGAGAGCTTCCACGCCTCTTCCACGCCGGCTGCCCAGAGGGAGCTCAGTAATGCCGGTCCCCGGCAACCAGATCGGCCGCAGACACAGAAGAAACAGCTCTCGGCAAGAATCCCTAGAGGTCGACCGGCTCGCTCGCAAGCAGTTTTCTTGCTTTTCTCTGAGACTGTATGGAATTTCCATCCTGACCCGATGACGGCTCCCACTCCGTGCAGGGCTCCCCGAGCCATGGAGACGCCTAAGTGGGAACGGA